TATATATATATATATATATATATATATATATATAATCTATAAATGCATTATTGTCACCTGAGTGCACCATAGCTATCTGTTGCTCGTGAATGCATCACACTGGTCAGTGAACGCTGGTCTGTGTAGATGCGCGTTTGATTTTCCGCTGAAGACAAAGCTTTGCAGTTTCCAAACTCCCGTCGGCATCACTGTGTATTGTTGTGTGTGAACAACAACAGACTAGAACAAATAAATCAGCCGTACCTCGGACACAATCTTTGGATCTAATGTTGTTCATAACACCCGTACTTTTGTAAATGAATCTGCCAAATAACCAAAAAAATTTTTCCCACCAGAGGAATATTTAAACATTTTTATATCATTAATATAACAACAAGTAGCTCCACTGGTCATATTTTAATCCGTTTTCCTCGTTTATAGTCACAGTTGTACAGAGAGAGGCACGCTCCCGCCACTAGGGATGCATATCTCTGCAGGGATGCACTTTTCGGCATAGCATCAGACCCCGGTCCGCTAATCCGTGACCTATGCATTAAACCGAAGCCAAGAGTAACAAATAACGTTTGTTTTAAAACTGTAAGGAATAGAAAGTACAGATACTTGTGTGAAAATGTAATGAGTAGAAGTCAGAAGTAGGAAGAAAAATAAGTAATGGAGTAAAGTAGAGATACCAAAAAACAGTAACAAAGTATTTGTACTTCTTTACTTGACACCTCTGATGGAGACTATTATGATGATGATGAGTGCCTGGAAAGTCATGGATGTGATATGGACATATCTTTGCATGGTTCAATGCATCATGATTAATTCAAACTGCAGTTTAAAATGTAAAGTTCGTTATCCACAGAGCGTCTCATTAAAAACATAGAAACACCTCACAAAGATTAACGAATAGCCAGAACTACTGTACAGGAATGACATAGTGCTGAGATGTGTCAGTCATTTGGGGGTGGGGGGGTGGGTGTCACCTGTAGGGGCCGGGCAGATTTCCCCGAGCTCTGCCCCTGAGCTCTCAGTTGTTTGTCACTTATCATTTTATTTTCTAATTATTACAAGAGGTAAAGATTTTATTCAACTCAAACTAATGAAAATTCTTATACCTTGAATCATAGTTTCTATAAGATAAGAATAGAAAACTATCAAAAGATAACAACTTTTGTAAATTTCCCCAGTTTTCTTTATTATTGTTTCTCCTCATATGAACCCAATATTGGAGTGAAATACAGTTAGAAAAAAGGTTGGTAACAACTAGAAGATCAAAACACACAATGCTTTACCTTTAATGTACGTACAATCCCCCTGTTTCAATAACACAGCAATAAGGAATTTCAAAAGTATGTTGCATTTTACAAAGACAAAATGGAAGTAATCTTGCAATAAATTTTACAATGTTCAACATCATTTAAAATCATTAAGACGTCACATATAAAGAACATTTGTGTTAGAAGCAGTTAAATCACGTTAGTTACATTTAGCCTGTGCTTATGAATAAAATGTAAATATTAAAGTGCTCATCACAGCAGCGTTTTTAGAAAGGTATCGGTTAAATACTTATTTTTTTAAATCTTCATAATGTTAAACTTTCAATCAAAATGCGAGTATCATTAACTTTAAATGCACAGAAAAAATATAGCAGATATAGAAAAGTTTTGCTATTTTGTAGTTTTATTTAAACAGATTTAATGATAAATACAGAAAATGCTATTCATAGTCATTCTTCTTTACATTAAATGGAAGTGAACAGAAAAGTTTTCCCAAACCTCAAATTACTATGATCTTTAAAGACAGAATCCATTTGCCCAAGTATTAGACACTATGTTTCAGTAAGAATCATAAGATATTGGTTACGCAATGAGCCGATTTTTGATGAATGTTTGCAAGCTGAATGGGTTGTGTGACTCCTGAGGTCTAATCATTTACCTTTAGAAAAACAAACATGGCTGATTTATAATGTGCCTTAATTGAAGGAGAAAAAAAAATCCCTCATGCTGCAAGTTAAAGATGTTCTTTTTCAGGCACTCATCTCTTGGTCCTTTACAGGAAGTTTAACTTGTTTTTGTTTGATTCTTGCATAACTGCATAAGGGATTGCTGCCTTAATTTGTTTTTGGCTGCACAGAAGTCTTCTTCATTATTCATTTACTATTTTTATTTCTGAACATTCAACATGATTACAGATGCGCAGACTCGCAGGGATTTTTGCTATTGTTTCCACCTCATTTTTAAATGTTTTACCTCCTCCAAGTTGAGCCAATTTATTATTTTAGCCTCTTAAGCACCCTACTGAAAGGTGGGATTGTTGACAACATAATTTGTCGCGATTGAGGTGCTTTGGTGGGAGATATTCATTGGGGTGGGGTAAGACATCGACGTCATGGTGCCAGAACCATTCGCATAGTAGCCGTTGCCTGGTTGTGGAACACTGAAACCATAACAGGCCGTGGAAAATGAGGCTGGTGGGTTATTGCTGTGCAGAGGCACAGTGGTCATGTGGTTGGACATTTGGAAAGTTGGAACCATAGGTTTGGAGAAACTTTGGTTGTACTGCTGTGTTTGGGAAGTCAGAGAGGCTGTAGGGTATAACGGGGCTGTTGGAGGAGGCAGAGAGGGTTGGGAGTATAATGATGCTGTTGGAGAAGGCAGAGAGGTTGCGGGGTATAACGGTTGTGGTGGAGGAGGCATAGAGGCTGCAAGGCTGAACTGCTGCACCTGCAGAGTCTGGCTGGGCTGTGGAAACGGAGAAAACGTCGGTCCTGCAGGGTAGGTTGTTTGCTTTGGCGCAATGGGACTATCAATCGCTTGTGCCGCATTCAGAACCTGCAAGCCATCATCTATTTTTTTACTTATCCTACCAAACATTGCCTCATTATCTTTAGTCTTGGCACTAGATCCTTTAATAGTGCTCGACCTGGTGAATTTCGTTATGTGTTCCTCTGCAGTAGTCAGAGTCATAAGGACTTCTATCAAAGATTGGGAAACTGTGGGAGTGATGTGATCAGGTCCCTTTTTTTCGATCCCCTTAACCAGTCTCTCCAGGATGTGGACTCTTTCGGCGATTGTGTCACAGTTGGTTTTGTAGACCTTCACACTCTCAGCCCTCCGATAGATGGAGTTGCATTTTTCCACAATGCGTTCTATGGTTTCCATGATGATCTGCTGAGACAGAAGAGCAGGAATTTTTCTTTATTTTTTATTTTATAAGGGGCAAATCTTCCAAATCACATCCATCCATCCATCCATCCATCCATCCATC